GATTTATTTTTTCAATAACTCATCTCATGGGGACTCATTTTCTACATCCCTCTTGCGTGTCTGGCTGGTGTCCTAAGGCTCTAAGTAAATTTACTTCATTTTTGAGTTGCACTGAATCCTATTTTTCTGCTGATGTAACTTATAAGGCTGGAACAATAGAAAACTTAAAAAATCAAGTTATGTTTAATGTCTTGGCCCTTGAGTGCAATACTGAAGTTTTCCAAGTATCTTCATGAGAAACTGAAGCTGTATCCTATACATCGCCAGAAACCTAGCACATGCTGCCATCTAAATACAGACATACTTTCCTTGCCCCTCTAATTTTTTATCAGTCTGGGGGCAGCAGGAGGCAGGCAGAGCCTTCTGTGGTCTCTAGTGGCATCTAGCTTTGTTAACATTCTGTATATCGCTCCCTTTCTCCGAGTCAGCTCCTTCATGTTAAAATATTGGCAAACACCATGGAAAGATATCCACGGAGGGATAGGAACTCATCCTTTACTGTTAGGGCAGGTAGCATATACCCATAGACCTCAGTTACTTGGGCCACTTACATTCCCTCGGTCTCTACTCCCAAGGTTCTGTAAACGCCTTTGTGATTTCCAAAGGTATCTATCAGAATGAGACAGGTAAACAGAAAGGCAAAGTTATTCATTCCCAGTAGAAGCTTCCAGACCTTTGAGGTTCTTTTTCCATCACCTCAAAGCTTCTGGGCTTAGAACAATCTTCTGCTTCACTTCTACTAGTGATTGTACACCCCTGGAGTCACTGCAAAGTCGATGGCACTAAGACATAGGGGGAGGCTAGTGAGGACCTGTGTGGGCATTGGGACGACTTGGCAGGCAGAAATGGGGCAATTAAAGTAGGGCTTTTGCTTTTAGACAGAGGATATAATAATATCTATCAGAAATGCATCTACAGATGTGAAATATAATGTAAATTGTAGTATTTCTGTCTCTATTTACTCAGATGGCCAAATGTAGAAAGAAAAATCAAAACAACATGGTATCATGTGAAACCAATTTATCTTGAATAAGACTTCTGGGTCTCTCTAGACTTACTTCCAGTTTATATTTGCTTTGATTTTATTTTATTAAAACAAGGAAAAAGGGTATACTAATGACAATCCTTTACAGTTATTATAGGTTGATTGTACCAGTTATAGGCTTCATTTTGTTACTAATAAAATCTTAACTGTCAGAAATGCATTGAATTATTTATAAAGCAATGTCTGAGCTAGCAAAAGCCTGTCTTGTCCATAGCAGGGGAGATTTGACCGAGGCCCACATGCAATGACCCAAACAGGTCACTTAAAACAAGTTCTTTCCTTTTTTGGTAGAGAGGCTAATATAGTTTTATCTGGGTTAAGGAATACATAGACATTTAAGCACAAGGTTTCTCTGTGCCTAGCATCTAGGATCTGATGATGTGAGGGTGTCATATGATATAAATTTCACATGATGGTACTATCAACTCCCACTCAAAAGATACTACAGGGCCCAAAGTGGGCATCTTGTTCAAGAAGGCGGGGGGGGGGGATTCCTTAAAGTGTGTTCAACTAGAGAATCAGGAAACTGGTTTGGGTCTCCAGAATTTAAATAAGTACCAGTTATTCCTTCATAGAAACAGAAATGCAACATTATGTAAATATTCACTATGAATATTTCATAGGAAAGTGGAATTAAATTAGTACCTAACGATGAAAGTCAAGAAGGAAATCTGCTCTGATGTGGCACTAACATTGTCTCTAAATTCATCCCTTAGGTTCATGCTGTAATTTCAAACACTGTCTCTCACTACAGGGGCTCACTATGCTAGCAGTGGTGTCCCTCAACAACTGTCATCTAAACTGTCTTGCATAAAATGTGTGCATCCTGGATTCCAGCCCCACACAACTCCATTAAGTTGTAAACGGATTTTATTTGCTGAACAAATGTTAATGCCATTCTATGTTAATGGGTAATGCTATGAAAAGCACCAAAGTATTACAGCACTGAGTCTTTAAGGATGAAATATAGTATAACTTAGAAAACTGTCTGTTATAAACATATGTCAGCCATGAGGGCCTCTAGCTCTTATTGCCCATCTTCATAGAAGTCAGTTATAATTTTTCCCTTGGTTAAGTGAATTTTGCAACATTACACAGATTTATCAGGTCCCAGGATTAAAATTCTCTGAGTGAGAGTGAAAAATAATTACACTTTAGAACACAATATAATATTCAAATGACTTGAAAACAGTCTCTTCAGCAAAAATAAGAAAGGAGAGAGGGGGAAAATGTTGAAAGATGAGGTTGATGACATTGGTTATAAAACCTCTGTGAGCTCAAGATCACCAAGGCATGATCTGGCACTTTGACTACTCATAAACATGTGTCAGTGGGAATCCTCCATTCACAACAAATACCAGAGTGGTTTCATTAATGAGTCAGGAGGACTTCTTCATTTAATAAGACAACATAGTATTTAAGAGAGAGAGAGGGTGTTGGTGCCAGAAGGTGTTTGTTCACATCCAAGTCCTACCACTGACTAGCTGTGTGACCTTGAGCTGGCTGGGTTTCACTTCTCATCTCAGTTGCTTCGTAAAACAAGAATGTAATCACGTTTACCTGAAGGAATAACATGTGAAAGAAACGTAGAATAGTGCCTCATTTATTATAAGTATTCCGTAAAAGTTAGCTCTTCACCATTTGGTAACTGTTATTGTATATAGGGCTTAGTGCAAATGAAAAGGTACTGGATGAAAATGGCCTCTCCTCACAAGACAGTTTCTCTGAGCCCACTCCATACAAGCATCACTCATTAAGGTCCCCAGTGACCCTTTATTGTCCGATCCATTAGGTGATTTTCTATTATTTTTAAGGCATTTTTTATGATCTTGGTATTCTTCCACAACAAAACAGAGTCATCACTTAAACAAGAAAGCTGCAAATAACAAATACCTCTAGCAACCTTTATTGGGTTTATTGACAAGATCACAAGGAGAAAAACAACTAAAAAAATTGGGCTCCATAAAGACTATTTAGGAACCTGGGCACTAAAAAGCCATGTTCATGACTCATAACAAGTTGAATCTGTGAGCCATCACAAAGATGCTCAGCATTCTCCTTTAGAGGATTTTTCACTCAATCACTCACTCATTCACTTAATCAAATCATGAATTCTAATTCCAGACATTGGGTCCACAGTGTGGGATGAATCCTGGGACAGATATGCAACAAATAAAACAGGCTATAACTGAGAAGTCTTGTGCTTTGTGTTTGGAGAAGACATGCTTTGAATAAGAGGGGAGGCCATTATGCAGAATGAGTGAGGCAGGGCAGCTAGAAAAACATTTCAGGCCAAACTGAAAAATGCAACCATTCTTTGAGAGCTTCCCAAATACCAACTATGCTAACAACACCTTAGCCTGACAGGTGGGGGGAGAGGAGAAGGTTCACCTGGACATTACCAGCACTAAGATCACCTCTGTTTCTCCCAAATCTACACCACTTCACATCCTGTATACTCATGGGAGAGCCCAGCTATCTCCTAGTGATCAACTCTACTACTCTTAACCTTGTATCTGCATATATATCAGTGATCTGATGGATGCAGGGTTTCCATTTATTTCCATTTATTTCCAAGCCCTATTCAAGGAGGCTTTGATAGTAGCCAACACTTCTAGCGTGTTGTTTTAAGGGTCAGTAGGGTTAGAGATAGGAGAGGGGCCAGGGGTTTATAAGGCTCTTCTCTGCTCTCTAAAGAACATGAAAATAATGCAGAAATACCTAAACCAATCAAAGGGAGATGGCTTGAATACTGCTATCTAGATCCCAAACATGAAAGAAAAACTTCAGAAAAGTACATCAACACCTTACACTATCTGTTGTTAAATTTCAAACAAAGTTCCAGGATAGTGATAATGTAAATATAAAACACAATATGTAGTTTTTAAATATAATGAAATGCAGAAATGAAGTCCCACATTTTGACAAATGTTTTCTATATAAATCTCTGCCAGAAAAGAAAAATCATTATGAATTCAACCAATCAAACTTAATTAATTATTTTGGCCAACTTGAGGGTAACATGATATATTAATGAAATAATACTTTTCAGAAAGATGAAAAAGTCCTGCTTTCGAAAACAATTTGATGACTAATATAGATTTTAAACCAAATAATTACATTACTATACTTCACTAGCAATTCAAGAAAAGGCACATAGGTTCTCCAAAAGTGAAATATATATTAAAATAAAGTTTCTTTTTTTCTTTATTGTCATACCTTCTGGTCTAAATCATCTGGTGTTTTGCCCAGTGTAACATCAGTTTCTGAGAACTGTAAATTACCAGATTACTTCCCTGAGAAAACACGAGTGAAAGGATGGGTTGAAGATGTCACCCTGACTGTAAGTTTGAATAACCAGGAAATACAAATATGGCAGAACCTCCCAAGCTAAGTGAATCTGGGTGTGAAACAGGCTCACGGCAGGAATCCACTAGAAATGATGTTGATGAAAAGCATAGGCTTCCAGAGAACAACAGGCAAAATAATAACATGCAAAACAATATAGAAATAAATTTCAGATGCTGAGCATTACCTCCTTGTCAGAGTGCTTCTGATTTTAATTAAGTTTAGAAGAAAAATAACAAGGCAACCCCTGCCTGCCTCGAAAGTACAGACAATTAAAGAATGTGTTTAAGTAGCAGGGTGATAAATGGGGGCATCCAAATGTGTGCACCACTGTGTTTTTCATCCCAGCTCTGTGCTTCTGTCCTCCAAATGATAACTTTAATGCAAAAGCACCAGACTGAGGTGCAGCTCGAGGATGTCTCAAAGAAACTCATATCACTTAGACAACTTAGGTGATTTCCATCAGGTTAAAAAAAAAATGTCAACCAACCAACCAACCAATGTGGAGCCTCCTTTGATAATGTAGTCTCGTGTTTCCTTTCTTTATGAGAAGAGGATCTATGTCTACAAATCTTCTATAAGAAGATTTGTAAAAGAATATCCTTACCCGAATTATTTCTTCCACACAGCTGTTGGTTTCTGCAGATCTACTCTCCTGAAAACAAAGAATAGGGAAATTAAGCTTGATGGAATAGATTTATGGTTCCAAACAAAAGATGACCCATACACTCCCAAATAACACTGGATTGAAGGAATGCCCTAGTTGGGAGTTACTGATAAGCCTCTTTCCTTAACAGATGGCTCCTACTGTGGCTACAACTGCACCCTCCTTCCCCACCGATGCAGTGTAGACAGGTCAGCTAGCAGCTTCACGTGCACCCAGGAGTTTCAGCCCTGGGTCCTCCAGCCATATGCATAGCATTTGAAGAGCAATGAGTTCATCCCCTAAATATGTGCAATGTTACTGCCAAGGCTAATGCTCCAGCTTCTGTAAAGTCTGACAGCTCCACAAGGCTCAAAGCCTAGATCTACTGTTTTGATGGGTCCCAAACCAAAAGGAGAAACCTTCACTCAGTGTTGGCAGAGTGTACTAGGAGTCATACTCCAGAGCCTCTTGTTCTGTAAGGCAGTGGAGAGGTGAAGGGATCTGAAGAATCCCATTTCTGTATTTCTTAGGTCCCAGCGGACTGTGGGGAGCACTGTGAGTTCCAGAGATGCTCTGTGGTTACTGTAAGTTTCACAGCCTACAACACAGAAGGTGATTTGTGGGGATATGAAAGCAGCATTTGCTGGTAGAAGTGTCTATTGTGGCCTCAGGGAGAACTTCTCTTGACCTTTTAACTGAAGGGTATTGGTCACAATGCAGCATGACATCCTAGAATGAAACTTTCTTCAGTCTCTTCTGCAAGCCCACCCTGCTTCCTCTTCATAGCTTTCTTTCCATTAAGAATGTTAGCTGCATCTTCCCAGTTTTCCCAGTTCCGAGTCAACCTTCCAAACGACAGGTGAACTATAAATTCTCTAGAACGGTAATCTCTAACCCTGAAGGAGGTTAAACCTGAAAGGCTTTTTCATACCCCTCCTCACAGTTGTTAGTCAATAACTGATTCTTCAGTAGTATCTACTCCCTCTAGAACATATACTCCTTGAATCCAGGAGTTCAGTGTCTCTCACCACAGTGCTCTACACAAGCCTGAGTGTGCACAGTAATATTTGCTAGTGGACAGTGTAGGAAAAAAATGAATCTCTTTCCTACAGTTCTAAAGAATGTGAGGCCTATCATCAGCAACTCCAGTGGCTTTTAACATTACAGATGACCCCAAAGAATGCACCCCAAGCCCCTGTGTATGCTACTCACCCCTTCTGGTGGTAGAACATTCTGTTTGAAACAGCCTTTCAATTGGGTAAGGAGCCAAGGTAAATGAAGGTATGTGAGGCATGAAATTGTCCCAAACATGAGTGGGCTCAACTGGAAACCATATTAAGACCACAACTATTTCTCTTACTTGACTTTCAATGCCAATCTTTCCTATCATGTACTGTACTGGCTTGCTTGCTAAATTCTCAGTGCGCTTTGCATTTTCTCAGTGTGCTTTCTATTTAAATATTCAATTCTCAAAGTATTTCCTATTTTCTATCTGAAAACAATTCATCAAAGGTAACTTGACCTTACATTCTCTTGGTGCAATCACTTAGCTACACAACATAATAATAAGACTGTTAAACTTAGATTTCATCAAGTTAAGTTTTTCTCTGAATATAACATTTTAATTTCATTTGAAGTGATTTCTATAAATGTATGTTGCTGTTATGATTCTCTCTCTTTCTAATCCTGTACATTTTACTACCCTGGAGCATGAAATGGGGATGGGGTATGAGAGAAATGCAAGACTGGTGTACTGTTAAATACTCCCTCAGCACTCTACAGATGGAGAATTGGGATTATTACATTGGCTAATCTTGATGGCGACTCCAACCATGAGCTGTAATACTGTACACAGACCCCAGGTCATCCTAATGGGATGGCCCTGGTAAAGTTGAAGATGGAGCAGAAGTAAGGCCTGGACAAGGGCTTCTAAAACAATCTCAGTGCATCTTCACCTTAAATTAGTTAAAATGATAGTCTGGCAGAGGAAAATATTGGGTCTCCTCTAGAACACATAACTCCTGGGATACGTGGGAACCTAAGAAGAATTGTAACATGTTGGTTAGAATTTTCAGGATCCTGACTGGATTGGATTGGAGTAGATCCATGGGGCACTATACTGCAGACAATTTGAATTGGAAGGAACCTTGCAGCCCATTTTATGTTAACTCAATGACTGACAGATGGAAACACTATGGCCCTGAAAAGCAAAGGACTTTGTTTAATTTCATGTGGCAGCAAGGGGCAATCAAGGTCTATAACCCAAGTGCCGTTTCCTTACACCAGCTCAGTGAATTTTCTACTATCTTATACCATTTCTCAAAGCTCAACCCTTAAAATGGGTTCAAGTCAAAGACACTAGAAAGGCTTGAAGTACAGAAATAAAATAATTGAGCTATATTTGAATGAAATTTCTCCTTCCTTCCAGGATGCAAATTATCTAACACTAAATCATTCTGGTTCTCACTTGCTTATCTCCAACTTCACATGTACAAATTGTGTTTATATTTCTCACCATAAAGTTTCCCTTGGAGAAGAGGTGATAGACAACTTGAAGAGAAAGGTTAAAATGACCATCCTTTCTGTGCATTAACAAGTAAAAGATAAGGATTCACATCCTAAGAAGTCAGAGGATAGAATGCCACCTCTTCCTTTTTTTTTTTTTTTATTTTAGCAAAGATTTTTTTTTTTTAAAATAATAGCTTATTTCCTCTTCCTTTTTAAAATACATAACATGGCGCCACCCTCATAGCAGGGCCCTCCCTGGTGGCATTCTGGGTTAAAGCACAGCACTGCAAGCTCACCATAGCTGCTTCAGTACAAGTTCAATCCTCAGCTCTGGAGGTGGCCCACATGGCATGGCAGACCTCTCCTGACCCGCCCGCTGCTCCCTTCAGCAGTGTACTTCATCAGTTGGTCTGTTCTGCTCCCTACTCTGTCTCTCACTGCTCCTCCACTTCTATCCTGCACCCCAGTTCTGAATGCATAAATAAGTAAATTTTTTAAAAAAGCAAACATAACAGGGCATAGGGGAAGGGAGGGAACTGGAGGACTTTTCACCTTGAGGTTGTTCCCAAGTTGGGTGTCAGCTACAGAGATGTAGTTTGATACTTTGATTATATTTATAGCTTTCAAACTTTCAATGTTTATGATCCAGATTAAAACATGCATGTAATTTGCATCTCCAAATTTGTGTTTATATTTCTCACCATAAAGTTACTGCTTCCCTTGGAAAGGTACCCACTGAGATGGAGGACTGCACAATGCAAGTTTTAATTACTCTGTATTTTTTGAGAGTTTGTAGCTGTTGTTTCATGCTGAGTTGTTAAGCCGTTGCTCTGTATTTACTCTGACTTTGATGAACCACCCCGTTTTCCTACCATTACATTTTGAAATCTGTCATAACAGTCTCACCTCATTGAACCTCCAACTAAACTTCAATTAAAGCTAGCAACCCCAGCTGATTCGCCTTCTCTACTCCCTTGTCTCTCCCGCTCCTGTCGAACAGAATTGCTTTCCCCAAATCCTACCACTTAAAAATACACCACACTCTGCCAGGGAAATGTTAAGGAACAAAGTTGTGGTAAGTACAGCTCAAGAAATAGCCAGGAGATCCTATTGCTGACAGCAGAAGTTCCTAATTACCATGCCGAGCACAGAGCATTGGAAGAAGCAAGCTTAAGGAGAAGAGGCCTGATCAAATCAGGGGGAAATGGCATTTCACTGCAGAGGAAATGAAGCAGCACAAGTTCTATTTTCAAAATTGGTTAACTCTTCATCAGACACATTTAAGGTGGAACTCAGTTTCTGAGATGATGCTACTTTAAAGCCACAATACCTTTAGTCTGTAAGCTGGAAAAAATGCCCTCCAGCATTTAGAGGTAGTTTATCACATACACAGCTTTAAATACTTCTACAGAGTATTTTTAATTAAATCACACTTGTCTTGAATCACAGAAAAATCCAGATACAAAGAAATTCGGTGTGCCATTCATGCCTCTGAAGCTGTGGGAAGCTGTGGGTGAGAATGTAAGTTCACATTCAGGAGTCACTATAATACTATGTGAAACTTCATCCTAGGCCACCCAGTCTCAACCTGAGGCCAGGTGACCTGTGGGCAAGGGGCAGCCTCCAGTCTCCAGTTCTGTCAAATTCTGCTGTGATACACCCAACCTAATATCTCCCCCTCCAAGAGCCACTCTACCTCCTAGTCACCCAAACAGGAAGCTCAGCATTAGTGCTCATCAGTCCCCTGTAATCCCTGAATCTGCTCAGCAAATTGGTTCACCTTTTGCCATGCCCGTCACCTTCATTTCTCCCTCTCTGACCCTTACCGTCATCTAAACATTTATACATTGAGAGGAAAAATAAGCAAAAAGAAAATTTAAAAATTGCAAACATTAATGAACAAAATGGAAACCCCAAGAAACACAATTTGATATAAAAAAGGGAATAAATGTGGAAGGGATTATATATACAAGGATGTTATTAATATTAAAATAGAACGCACTGCTGGTAAACAAAACATCTTACGCAAGCTGGCATCTTTATGAGTAAATCTGACTGGAGAATAAAGGAAAAGGAGATTTTGTCTATAACCCTTACAAAGCAGATCAAAATAAAAATTATCCTCAAATGAGGCTTTAAGTCAGACTGTTTTAGAGTGGGGTATTATTTCCTCCTTGAAAGGAAGGTATTTCTTATTTCAAAAATGAAATAACACCTGCTTTTCCTTCCAGAGTAGAAAGTAATGGAAATTTAAGTGATTTATTAAGTTAGTATAACACTCTAGTAAGAGAATATAGCAATAAACTGTATGAAAATGAATGTAAAATTCTCAATAGATTATTGGTAAATATAATTTAATAAAAGATTATAAGAATTAATGGAAATTTAGTAGGTTTTGGCCCAGGAACACGAAAGTGGTTTAATATTTAATATTAGGGTCCATTTAAAACATTGTATCACTAGGAAAGTACATTAAAAACTGTATTTTAAGCTTTAAGATT